ATATATATATATATATTTAACATAATTTTTAAAAATAAGGAAAAAATAAATAAAAGTATGTATCTGAGCTAGACTGACTTTGTCACTAAATGGATTTGAGGACAGAGAGTGTCCATTTCCACCTACAAACTGGGATAGAGATGGCTGAAGCCCCAGCTAGGGAACCAGTATGAGTCCAGGTAAACCACTGGTAGCAACAGGTGGCCAGGGTGGAGACTATTCAAGGTACAGTGCTGAGTCCACAAGGAAGAGAGAAAGTTGTTTTGTGCAAAAGATGTAATAGCTAAGACCAGTAGTCAGAAGGAAGTCAGTGTCCTCGCAGCAGAAGTATCAAAAAATGGCTAGAAGGATTCATTTCTTGGGGCCAAAAAAATACTGGTGCAATTGACTAGGACACAGCAACTACCAAGAGAAGGAGGTCTGGAGGCAGAGGAGGGGAAAAAGAAGAAGGAGGAGAGGAAGGCGGAACAAGAAAGAACGAGAGAGGAGAGAATCAGAAAGAGCTGAGTTTCAGATAGTAGCGGAGTATCCACTGCCTAGTGAATAGCTGGAAATAAGGAACTCATAAATGAAAAAGAGTGGGAGTTAAACCCATGAGAACAAATGATTTTTTTTTTTCCCCTCTAAGAGAAAACAGAGTTTAGAAGACAGAAGGAAAAAGAGATGTAGAAGTCAAGAGAGAGGAATTTGAAGGCCTGGCCGGAATAACGGCAGTGGGACTGGAGTGGCTGAGGAGATTTTTTCAGGTACAAAGTTGTTACGGGGACAAATCACGACTTTCAGGGAGTATGTGCCCACCCACCTGACAGAACAGTCCCATACATTAAAAATTATGCCTGATTTTATGTAATGAATTGAAGGATAATATGGAAAGAGCAGGTCATATGACATAATCCCACAATAAAGGCATTAAGCATGACTCAGAGTTTTAACCCGCAGAGGTTATTAATAGGCCCTTCCCATTTGCAAAACAGTACAAACATGCTGTGCCACCAAAACCAAAACAAGCAGACCTTTATTTCCTCTCTGTAACTTTAATAAATGTGGATTGAAAAAATAAAAAACTTTAATGATTTCAACATTAATTTCAACCAACATCCAATAGTGAATTACCAATTTTACTGGCCAATCCAGTAAACTTTGCTTTGCTTGAATTTGTGGAATATTTGCCTTTTTTTTTTGTAACCTGAAAAGCTCTAAAGTGAGAAAGCCCAGAAGCAGGTGATATCACAAAATGTTTACTGCCTTTGAATTAAGCACATACTAAAGACCTCCTAGTAGGTAACAGCCTTTTTTTCTTTCAAATATTCCCCTGTCATCAGAGCTTCTGCCAAACAGTTTACAGGTAGTTGGTCAGGTGTGACCTTTGATGTTTTTCATAATTACTAAAGATTCTTCAGAAACTATCCTTATGTCCTTTAAGATACAGCTTAATTAGATACCAGATTTTAGATGACA